AGCATGTAGTGACAACAAGATGGGAGTGTCCCCTTAGGCAAGCTGCTGTGATTCTATCACCCCATTCAAGACCCTGTCGGAATCTGAAAATCGCAAGGAAACTGGCACGGTTTTCAAACCTTCAGTCTTGGATCCTTTGGAGCCTAATCCCGCACAGCTCTTGGATTCCGTGGTCTTGAATGGGAAATCATATCCCAAAGCATTGAGCTTACGAGTTGCGTCTTCAGCCCATTTTGAGGAGTGGCAGCTACTGTTACATCCCTCATCTAAGATGCAGTACACGTCTCTCCCAGAGTACATGTCTATTCCTTCACCAGGAACCGCAACCATTCCATCTGGATGCCCAACTGGGTCATCCGTGAGATTCGCTGCAAGATGCAACAATGCTGGCAAACTGGGTGGGGATGTTGTCGATCTGTTCAGGGGTGAGGTGATCAACGTCATCCTCAACAATGGAATCAACAATTGCTATCTTGTTGATGGGGCACTTTCAACCTTCTTGGCAATGGTAACCCGTTCCTTGCGAATAGCCATGGGGGCTTCATCAATGAAGGTTTGACACAACTTGCTAAAAGTGCGATGGGTAGTACGACTGGATCCTCTAAAATCAACATCAGCATGAGTGCAATTCTCTGGAGAAAACCTTGGGGCTTCATCCCTTCGGATGGTTTCTGAATGGCCACATACGAGACATGTTTTTCTGATGGTGTATTCAATCGATCCCCTCTCGTGAAATCCGTGCACTGGGTGCACTTGTTGGGCTTTGGTGGGTTCGGTGGGGTTTTTCTGATGGTGTATTCAGTTGATCCCCTCTCGGTGAAATCCGTGCCTTGAGGGCATGTCTTCAACAGGATCATCATTGGGAATCTCCCTCAAGTAAACTCCAGCGTCATCAACATCGAAAAACTTGTCAACCCATGCAACCCATTCCTTCAAGTAAGGACTACACTCGAGTGGGTTCCTTCTTTGTCCACCAATAGAAGTTCCTCTGGGTGTGCAAGATATCCCAAAATGTCATCCCCTTGAACTGACCCATTGGGAAAACATATCCATGCTTCTCAGGCCTCAGTCTGGGATCAAGGTCCTGCGGTGTGGGAGTCCTCACGGATGCAACCCCACGCTGAGAAGATGCAGCACCTGATGAACGAGGATAGCCCTGACTGGATCTAACCTAGCTTGGCTTTCGGGTCGGATGCTCGGACGGCAATGTTGGCTGTCGCAATCTTCGGATATGAAACATCTACGTACACTCCATCATCGGACGGTGAATCGCTGAAATCAGCAAAGTGGGCAGCAGGTTTTGGGGCACTTTTGGGGTTTCCCTGCACCTTGTTTCCTGGAAACTTACATTGGGGGTCTCCGGCCCAATGGCCAATGCCACCACATCGGAGACATTGAGACAGTCGGTCACGCCTTTGCTGAAGGGTCAGCTGGCTGCGGACGAGCTTGCCCTTCTGGTTGCCTTTGAAACCCTTGCCTTTCCCCTGGCTTTGCCAAAGGCGGCATGTGTGGCAAGTTGCAACTGAATGGCATCACCAATCTGTCTATCATCACCATCATCTGGGAAATCAATCATTGCATTGAAAGCTACTGTTTCCGTTTCATCAACACCAGCAAACCATTCATAGTCATGTTCGGGGCTTCCAGGATCTTCCTGTTCCTCAATACCTCCAAATAAACCGACATACTTGTCTGGTTCATCCCCACCATCCTCATTCCAATTCTGGGATTCGTCCCACTCCTGATCTTCCCCTTCCGGGTAAGCCATGTGGGCAGATCTATTGAAACTGTATCCCTTGCCAGATTGAGATGATGAGGGCTTCCCCTTTTGTGATGGTTTCCCATACTTTCCCTGAGTTGAGTACCCTTTACTTTACCAGTACATGATCGGGACCCTTCACGGAGATGAATGCCGCTGTAGTGGCCAATCAAAACACGAGCAGTGCTCTCGAAGCTACCATCGGCTCTACAAGCCTTCACCACGAGAATCTCCTGTCGAGAAATCCCTGAAAGTTCAAGCATCAGCTCAATCTGGAAAGATTCAGAAACAGCCATGCTGGGATCTAGTTCAGTCAAAACATTCCACCAGCGACGATGGCGCTGCACATATGACAGCATGCTTCTGAAGGTTGCCGTGACAAAGGACCACCAATCTGTTGTCCAGCACGAAAAAGTTCTTTCCCTTCCTCCAAGGCTCTGGGAAAAACATGATTCCGGATGGTCTCAATGAGTTGCGCTAGACCTCCAGGGCGTGATACGGTTTCCAATCCCAAGTCTCTAGCCAAGAGAACAGCATCACCTCTAAGACCTTCTACAATCTTGTTAACTAAGATGCTTCTATCTGAAGGTGTCTTCTGCTTACCCTGTGACGAATCTGATTTCGGGGAAGCAGCTGTCTTTGGGGATGCAGCAGATTTTGGCGATGGGACATGTTGGCCAGAAAAGGGAAACTCTTCCTCAGTCGGCTCTCAACTAGGTTCTGCGGATGCAGTGGCAGCAGTCGCAGTCGCAGTCGCAGTCGCAGGTCCATCAACAGGATCCTGCTGCGATTGGGCTTGATCATGCAATCGGATTCTGAATTCAGTTCGGAACTTCCAATCATGAAAAGATGCGGCATCACCCCAATAGATGTATGACCCCGATTTAATCTCTTGTGGGGATCCGGCAATTCTATTGGATGTTCCTGGCTGAAACTTAAGTCCGGCAATGGACATTTCGGCGGATGCTGGGTTGTGCCACATGGATCAACTGATTGCAGGGCTGTCTCACACTACTGAGTACAGCCGATTTCGGAGAACGAGTGCTCAAAGTCTGACGGTTGGATGAAAAAGAGCGAGGAAAAGAAAGCGGTCACTGGATCTGCAACGTACCCGGATGCAGGTCGTCACCTGCACCGCTACCAATGTGAATTTGACACGGTATCGCGCAGTCCAAAAAGCAAAACAAACTTTTTTCACAGCGCGTATGGCTCAAAGGGCCCTACGATCCGATACAGCAGCGGATAGATGTGTCAACCTGGCTGCACACATGACTGAAAGACATGGTAGAATTCACACATCGTTTTTTTGACGGTTCTAAAGTGAAACAATGAACAAATCCAAGTTAACATAGTTCTTCATATCTTGGAAATAGCTCTTAGAAACAAATGTCTGAGCAAAATCCTTTGTCCAATAGCTCCGAACATGCTGCAAATAGTCCTGGAAATCGACCTACAACTTCACTGAGAGGCCAAATACAAAGGGAGGTGAGGGTCCTAAGACGTTCTGTTAGTGTGTTTGTGTTTGTTTGTTGTTGTGGTGGTGGTGATTGTAAGTTGTTGGTTGTTGTTATTAGTTGGCAGTTGGTAGCTCTCCCATTTCGTCTACAGTTTTATTTCCCAATGGTTCCCATCAATTTCGGTATATTCAATATTCTTGAAAACAGGAACTCTCAGCGGCACAGTGCCTGCACGTGTTGCAGTTTGAACCTTTCATTTTGCATGATATCTGAAGCATTTGGGAGCTGGAACCCCAAGGTGTTTACGGGCCCGCCTGTCCGCCTAGTGTTGCACCCGGGTATTGAACCCAGGTCTGACGCATGAGGGATGCACTAGTCCATACCGGCCCTCTTTGGGAGCTGGAACCTCTGATTTTGTATGGTTTTCGCCGCATTTTGAAACTCGAACTTATCATTTTTCTGATGTCTTGAAATTCAAACATTTCATTTTGCATGGTTTTTCTATCCTTTTCTTCGCTCCTCGGACCGAAGAAGCCCAAAGCCAAAAGCCGCACGAGCCAGAAGTCAAAGCCAGAAGCCAAAAGCTAGATCAAAAATTACTTTGCTTCGAGTGATCCCCACCATGACCAATTAGTCTGACATAATTTCTGGCAGATCTACTGATATTGTTTCTGGCATCTCTTTTTGGCAAGGAAGAGGAGGAGAGGAAAACTTTGATGAAATCTGGAGACCGAAGGTAGAGAAGAGAAAAACGAAAACAAAAACAAAAACAAGAAGCTGAGGAAAGAAAGGAAAAGACAAGAAAAGAAAAAAACTTGAATTCCATTCATATAGCTATTGCGTCGTCCTAAAGCATTGAATTGTTTTCGATTTTTGGAACTTCCGCCGTCCGGCTTGACGGGCTATATGGCTAATGTGTATGTATATATATAAATATGCTATATGCCATCGACTGGACTGTACATCTACTTCATACACAGACCAATACAAGTACAGATACTGTAGACCTCTCAGCAACACAGCGACAAATTGCCTACAAATTCAAACGTAAAAGGCCACGCTTGGCTGTAAATGTAGCCATGCAAGAGAGACTCTCCATGCGGTTTGCCCCAAGCTGCTCAAGTTCCTTTTCGTGCTGAGATCTGCCTATCAGCGACGTTGGTGCTCATCCGCCAGAAACAAAATGATCCCGCGCTCCATGCAAAGGATCATTCGGGGCAGCAAAGCATGCCTTCTGCATGCCTGTCCTTTGCTGTCCTTGGAAAGGTTGTCCCTGGGAAATTCAAAGCTACCCAAATCATGCCAAACTCGATACGGTATTTTCTGCAACCGTCCTGCACTCCATGCAAAGGATCATTCGGGCCAGCAAAGCATGCCTTCTGCATGACTGTCCTTTGCTATCTTCGGAAAAGTTGTTTCTCCAATACCTAGATGACAAAAAAAGAACAGGCCAAACTTTATACGGTCATTTCAGTGGATTCTGCAGCTTGGGGCTTCTCCCCAGCTGGCTCAGACGTCTTATCCGCAGATGTCTTATCCACAAAGGTCTTACCCGATCTTATCCACAGCTGGGCCTTGGAACATGCCCCCATGCTCCCGCCAGTAGTAGCAAGGGGACAGCAAAGCCCAAAAAATGACATGTCCTGCATGGACCTGGAAAGGAAGCAGCGGATCGTTGATGGGTTTGCAGAAGCAAAACCCAGGGATAACAACTCCCAAATTTCCGCAAGCCCCAACCAGTGCAGACACCACCGCCAGCTGCTGCTTGTTCATGAAAGGCACAATTACACAGTTGTACCTTCTGCCATCTGGACAAAGAGGGAGAAACAAATCAACACGGCCAAAGCAACATACCATGGCTGCGAGCTGTCCACCATGCAGAAGAGGAAGACCGCTTCAAAGAAAAGGGCCAAGAATTGCGCCCAAATGCGACCTCGGAAACCAACGTACTTGAAGAGGATGTCACTGGTGATGCCTCCCAGGGACCTAGCAAACAGGTTCATGAGGCCAATAGCTCCTGCCAAGGCTGATGCATCTGCCGCATCCATTTGGAAATAGGTCCTGAAATGGGTGGCACGTTGGTTGTTCATAGCGAGTTCGGTGCCGAATCATACACTGTATTGAAAAATCATCACAATGATGCGGATGTCTTTCAGCACCGCGACATAGTCCCACAAAGATGGTTTCTGGGTCTAACCAGTCACAGACACATCGGAGCGCTTGGCCGCGGGTGTGTCCCAACACAAGAGTTTCATGGTGGCTGCGCAAATCAGGAAAAGGACAGCAGGAACGATCATGGCAACCCGCCAGGCAGTGTTTGCTGGCATGCCAGAACTCACCATTGGATTGAACAGCACTGAGATCATAAACATCTGTGTAACACCGCTGCCCAAGTTCCCCCAGCCGGCTGCTGTGGCATTGGCCGTGCCAACCACGTTTGGGGAAGACATCAAAAAGGACCAGAGCTGGTTGGTGACAAAGGTAGCTCCTGCAGGGTTTGTCCTCGAAAATATTATTCTGTGCTGAAAACAAATGCATACATACTATTACATACTACTAATGTCACCGATGTCTTTTGGGGTAAGGGCTATATAACCAATCAAACCAGGTTCATTCATTGAGTGACCACCTTGGTCGATTTGGTTGCACGTGTTCATCTCACCTTTACTCATTATATCTCATTATTAATCACCGAAACAATCTCTCCCTGCTGTGAAGCTGCCAACCTGCCTTGATGTAGGCATGGAGGGCGTACTCTGGGCCACTGTTCAACTTGCAGCCAGAAAGTCGGAAAGACTGCCTGAAGTTGGCATCGCTAGAGGAATCGCCGGCATCGCTCCAAAAACGACTTCATGATACTTCACCACAAATAAACAATGCCGGGTGCCAGATGTGCCAGATGTGCCAGTTGGAATGTCAATTGAATGATGCCATCACGGCGGCACATCATTGAACAAGTCTTGCCATCTACTAGCACCGATAGTGTGCATTGCAGTCATCAAAGGAAAGGACCGTCCAAGAAATCCAAGGGAGAACTTCTGATAAAAAAACAAAATTGGTGATTCTATTGTCTAGAGACAGACATTGTTCCTCTCCTAATCTGGCCAAAGCACAAGGAAGAGTCGACATAAAGAAGCAACCTGCAGCTTGTGCTTCCAACTGCTCCTTGTCCAGCCTGAAAGAGTGGTAGTCGCTCAAGACTAAAGTCAAAGTCGGTCATCAAACACCAAATCACATGAACACTATTTTGATGCCTACTACATAACAGCACACAAACCTTACAGCAAGGACTTCAACCCTCCATGTATTTCCTGCAGCATTTCACTGGCTCGCGTGTGTTGTACGCTTAAAAGGCCACGTTTTATCTGCCTTGATCAGATCAATGGTCAGCGCAACAGGTCCCACTGCGATGATCAGCCAAAGGTAGCCCGCAGACCTGCATCGACAGGCGCAAGTCGTGTTTCTACCACACACAGATTGGTAGAGATATTGAGAGAAAGAGATGGATGCATGGATAGCAAGTAGATTGATGGAGTGATAGAGAAACCGGTAGAAAAAATCATCACAAAGGACACGGACCCAAATATATACATATATATATACATATATATATATATCCTTGAATTTCTGGTTACCGTCATGTCTCGCTCAAATACGATATCTATCTCTACTCCGATCATCTGTATATTTGAACATATATATATGAAATATAACGTGCTATATTATATTAAGTAATGGAGATTATATACGATATATACATATATATATACATATATATATATATGTATATATATATATGTATATATATATATATGTGTATATAATATATATATATATATCTATATATATATATATTATATCATATTATATCTATATATACATATGTTTCCTGTGCAAAATGTTGGTTCCCGAAGGCGGTCGTAATTCGTAATCACATGGGGGCCCGCTTCTTGGCAATTGCATGCAATTGCATTTTAACAAGTTTAGATTTCGTGACATGTCTGGCATTTTGGGTTATCAATTCAAAAATTGTGGCAGGGGCACTAGCGCATGACTTTTAGTTGTCTTCTTCAGAGGTCTCTCTGGTACTGGAACTCGAATCTTCAGCGCCGGAACGAGCTCTGAAACTGTATTGTTTTCTTTTGCTTGAAAGTCTCTTGGAAGCCAATTGCAAGATACATCTTGGAATACTCCTTCAAAACTGCTAGCTTCATCTGCATTCGGCATGGACTCCTAGTTGCTCAGCGCCTGTTTTGCTAGTGCCGAACTAGATCAGTACTAGCGCGAAAAAGGGTTGTTTTTTTCAAAAATGGCAATCATGCAATGTGTAATGTCTGTCGTCTTGTTCACATGCCGCAAGGGTTGGAGACTGATACCGATACGGTTTTAAATTTGAATGCTGCAGAAATTGCACACAACAGATTGATAAGTATAGCGCTGAGCTAGCGCGAATCTAGCGCCTAGTTGGTGATTTACATGAGTTAGCTGCGGGCCCGCTTCTTGCGAAGAGGAAACAACAAATGTCAATAATGAATTATGACCTCCGGAAGATAAAAAGTGCGACCGTCCCTCTTGAATGAGACACACACACATGTATATATCATATTATATATATACATATATGTATATATATATATACATATACGTATATATACATATATATACGATATATGTATATTTACCAAATTAGGCTTGCGCTAGGTAAGCTACAACTTGAGGAAAAACCAGCTATTGACCGGGACCCGTGAATCAACCACACAAATGCTGCGCTGTATTTTCATTGATCTCAATTGGCAAGATTGCGGTGAGGAAACCATGAATTGTCTCAGGGTAACTCAGAACCAAGCCAGCAAGCGACATCACGACAGCCATGCTCTTGGGGTTTGTGACGCGTACGCGTTGGTGCCTAGTGTGGCAGCTTCCCTGAAAAGGACTCTGTTCTGAAAACTTGGTGTGAGCTGTGTAATGGCAGCTAAGTATACCTACAAATACACATCTTTTCATCCATCCTTCTGTCTCTGATTGTACATTACATGATATCATTGTGATACTGTACATCCAATGCTGCAAGGGTAAATGACGAAGTGCCAAGGGTCTTAGCTGTTGTTGCTAGCAGAATGTGCTGAATGTGCAATATTGCACAATTACTGCATGCAACCAGTGACGGTTACAGTATTGGATGGTTATGGGGTTGAAGGGAGGCAGTAACAACAGGAGCACATGGGGCCGTGATGATATCATCGACATAATGTTTGTCTATGAAAACACAGAAGCTCACACGCCCACAGTGTACCATTGCTGACGCCAAGCCGCCAAATCAAATGTCAAGATGTTTCTGTTCTGCTCGTGTGGCCGACATCTCAGTCTCTGTTTGCTCCTTGACCTGCGACAGGACAAGGCCAACGACAAGGACAACAAACAGCTGGAGCTGAGCCTTTGGCTTCGCGCTGCTGCGCCATGCTGCACCATGCTGCTTCAGGGTCACAGTGAGGTCTCCCACACCATCCGGTCCCTCTATGTTTTCTAAACCAGCCTGTGGAGGAGCGAATTCCATGTTTGGGCTCAAGGATCTTCAGAAATTCAGGTTCAGGTGCAGATTGTGGACACAAACAAATCGGACATTTTTCAGTAGAACAAATTTGCAGTAAGTCCCACACATTGTCGGTGAATTCAACAACCAGGTGACCTGCTGATTCAAATTGTATTGTGGCAAAAATGCATCTGAAACGCTGGTGTCCTTCCTCATCCTGATTGGAGTATCAAAAGAAGCCTCTTCAACATTCCTCTGTGAGCTTTGTTCGACCTATGCAAAGCCACATGCAGGATCACGAACAGTATAGTCGTGATTTGAACTCCAATCAAACTCGCATTAAGTCCGACGACCTTGGAAGATGCAGGTATATATGTATACACACTTTCAAGTGTCCAGAATGTCTGCCTTGTATTGCTTGCTGTGATGATCTGCGCTTGATCCATACATACATTTCTATGAATAGACGTTCTTACGTTTTCTTATCCATGCTATTGTGCTCCTGTTGCTTTCTTGTTGAGGTCCAAGCAGCGCTTGGGACCTGAAGAAGCATCACTTTTCTCTGCCAGATTACTTGCAGCTCGGAATGCCTGCATGCCTGCCAGGCGATGCTGTGGCTGAGGACCTTCTGTGGGTCGGTTCGAAGTCAAGGAGTTTGCAAACCAAGCTGTCACATACTTCAACGCGTGTTTTAGTTCTTTTTTGCAATCGCTCTACATACTTCACAGTGACTTCTTGGCACCAGCTCGCACCCGGCACTCCATGCAAGGGTGCGGAAGCTGAATTCGATGCTTCTCAGTCACAAAGGATGAAGCTCAATCTATGCAAGGACAGGGCTGGAGGCCGTGTCCTGAATGGTGCCCAGCTTTGCCATCATCTGCTGCCACTCTGCCTCACTGGGTGCCTTCAAGCTCTGGAGGTGTGACAATACAAGTTCATAGGGATCATCTTCAAAACCTGTCTCGGTTTCTTGTGGATTCATCTGTTGCATAAGATGGCGGACAAGTTCTTCTGTGGTGGCATTGTTGCGTGTGTCCTCCTCTTCTTGAGCAATCATCTGGTGAGCTTGTGCGATGGCGGGGCCTACGAGTTTCTTCTCGTAGCAAGCGCCGCAGCGTGTTGCTCTTGATGAGGTTAATCTTGTGAATCTTTCTATTGATGCGTACCTCCGTGGCAGCTTTCCTCTTTACATCCAAATCTGTGCATGCACCGTTTGCGAAGGCCGAGGCCACCCAGCTTATCCCGGTGATTCCTGACATGAAATTCAGACTGCCAGCAGCACATCCAGCAGCCACGTTTGTGCCTTCCACACAATTGGTTGTGGCTGCAGCGATCAACTTGACTCCGTTGAATGTCATGGTGAGGATGTTATTGATCACCTCGGAACAAGCAGCCTTGCTCCTTGCGGTCCTCCCTGCCGGGCAACGTCTGCGTGCGATGTCGGCCAATGGGGGAATACGAGCAAAGAACCAGAAACTCTCAGCAACATTCCATGCGCAAAACAATTTTGCAATCGGAGCGGCGGGGGGGTCGGGAACCACCACTGCGGAGAGTTCTCTGTCAGCAGAGCTGTTAGCAAAGGATGAATTCGAAAGAAGTCGGCGTTCTGCAGCATCATAGGTTCTCACTCCACCTTCCACGACCGTTGTTTCGTATGAGGCCTTAGGGCAAAAGAGGGCAATTTGGTTCTCAGCTGCAGCAAAGAGCGCCAAATGCCTGAAGGTCAGTGCCATAAATACTGTGCAGCGGGCATCTGGGTTTGTTTTGCCTGTGCATAAGGTGGAGGTGCTGGTGAAGAAGGCCATCATTTCTGACAAAGTAACTATGATCGCAGCAAGATTGATATTGCATGCAATTTTCTTGTCGATATTGGTGGTTTGATATGCGCAATTGTCCACCGTTTTGGTGATGAGTGCGCCCACCTGAATCACCTTCCAGATTCCCAAGTTGAGATTGACGACGCAAAGTGCAATCTGATCCCCCCTCAAGTCATTGATGCCCAAGTCTGCCTTGAAGTTTGTAATTGGTTGTTTGATTTCTTTCTTCAACTCATCGATCGGATTCGCTGGAAGCGTTGGGATCTTGAAATCGCCCAATTGGACAATTCCAGCCTGGTCCTGAGCAGTCTGAGGGGCCATATTCGCGCGAATCGCGCCCAATGCCAAGACACCCACAACCATGAGACCAACAGCGGGCACAATGAAGGAGGCCCTCGCGCGAGAAAACCAATGAGAAACCTTTGCTTCGCTTCCATTGGTTGACCCCCAAAGCTGTGAAGTCTCCATCTCCTCTTCATCAGTCTGCGGAATGGTGGCCATGGACGACATGATTGCCGATAGCTGCCAAACCGCTCGAGGTCTCAGGGTGCACAGTCCCGACTTTCGAAAGCTTGAGCCAATCTAGATATATATAGATGCATACACATCAATTTTCAAACAAGAATTATGCACAAAATCATCTCAACACATGTTTAAGCTGACGGAATTTGTACCGTCCAGCAAAACGGGCATTTTTCTGCATCCTGACATGATTTTTTTTTGCACACATGGGGTGGGGTGAGGTGGGGTGGGGCAATAAAAGTGCACGCGTACCTAACGTCCTGCCACGCTACTCAGACACGTCATACTATGCTACTGCGCATTCTCTTGCACTGGCACAAACGCGTCTTACTACGCTACTGCTCGTTCTCTTGTGCTTGCACAGACACGTCACAGACTACGTTATTGCACGTTTTCTTGCACTTGCACAAACGCGTCATACTATGTTACTGCACGTTCCCTTGCTGTTGCGCCGGTGAAACCATAGCAAAGGTACTTGGTGTTTGCAAAGCAGGGTGGGTCAAAAAGGCACAGTGTCTGTCCACACAGGTGGCATTGACACTTGGTGGAAACTGATGAAAGATTCAATTCCCAACAATTTGGTGAACACCTCCGGAACAAAGGTGAATAAGAAAATCATGGAAAATCTTTCATTATGTCCGCTCCTTTCAATGGCGATGGGAAAACCCACGAGACTTGCTGAAAGTCACAGCCAAATATCTCAAAGAGATTAGTTGAGAAGACTGCGAGCGTCCTGGAAGAGCAAAAATGCTGGGAAGGGTGTGAGGCCAAAAGTTAAGGACGTACTTTCGGAGACCCCCTTTTTAACCATGAAAAATGATGCTTCGCCGAGAAGCAAAAATGCAATTTTGTACCAAAATGGCAGACAGTAATAATTCCGCCGGGATGTTTAAGCTCCTCTCACATCACCGCTGATATATTTGAAAACGAAGCTGCCGTAAGCTTGCGCCTGGGACAGCGGGGATGATGCTGCAGTATTTCTGCGCCATCTGAAGATAAAAAACAAAGTAGCCGCGGTCAGCGGTATTGGGCTCAAAGCTAGGTACAACCAGGTGCAATGCAGTGACACGCGCCTAGGTTCTTGGGCGATGGGCAGTTGTCCACACAAGGGGCTGCAGCATGCATAACGTGTTCCCATGCTCTGCCGTCCCTATTCATTTACATGCTAAACTAGGGGTTTTACCCATTGCATGTTGCCACCCTCCTAAGAGGGGCTAAGCTATGCTCCTGTTTTGGCGCGACGTAGCTACGTATAGGCCGACCCCGTCTCCTGGCCCTATCCCTATAGGAATCCCTCCTCGTTATCCACAAAATAGTTTTCATTCAGAAGTCTTGTGTTGTCCTGCTGTGCGGGCAAGCATCGGCCTCACACCTACAAGGATGATTGCCTGAAGACCAAGAAACCAGATGTCAAGAAACCAGATGCCAACTCTAAGGGGGTGCTCCCAACCTTTCCCTCACAATATGCATTGTATGTCCTGTAGACATGTCCCACTAAGTATCCTAACAAAGGGGATTCCAATGCAATCCTGGCATTGCAATGACGTTCAAGTGCCAACCAATTGGCATAGATCCCTTCCTTCATGATGCAAACGGCTCTCTCGATACCTTTTGCCTGGGGTCTTGCCTCTGAAATGTTTCTCCAGTGATAGCCTCTAGCTGAACTAGCGGCCAAACCTCTCTCAACAAGAGCTTTCAAGGCAGGCTCATTGTCAGTAGCTACCTCAACTGACAAACCTCCCACACCAATCTCGTTGAGAACAGATGCAGTTGATTTCACATCTAAATCCCTGTCACCACCGCAAACCACCATCCCAACCATACCAGTGTGAATCATCAAAATGACCAAAGCCTTCCAATGTCTACCAGCCACAAAAAGAAAGTCTGCAGCAAGACTGGGGTGTACTGCATGCTTACCCTTTACCCTCCTGGCAGGTGTGCGTCATCTTGACTGCACGCACTAGTCACATCCCCTGTCGTAAGGCCAGTGGCCTCTGCACTCATGCTCTACCATGAGATGTCCATCACCCAACTCTGGGACTTCAATCTCCAGGTCAGACCCTTCAGGTCCACTGGTGTGTCTGGACGAGGTGGTAAACTTGGTTCATGGGGTTGGTTGGATGGATTCCTAAAAGCCTCCTCCAGGTCTTCTGTGTTTGCCAAAGATGGTGAACCTATGAAATCATCGTCATCTTGGGTCAAATCCTCTACAGGGAAACCACGCATCATCAAAAATGTGCCATGATCTGTAGGATCTTCTTCAAAATTCCCATCAAAATCCCCACCAAAAGACATGAAATCATCACTGCCTACTTCAGAAAACTCATCACAAGACAAGAAACCATCACTCTCTGACGTTTCACTGTTTGTTTCAGAGTACGTTTCGTTTGTATTGGGCTCATTCTCAAAAGAAAACTGCTGAAAAAGACGACTGCTTCCAAAATGAAGTACCCTACAGACATATGAAAACGACTGCAACATGTCAGCACTCTTCAGCTGAAGCTCCCGACCAGTGGCTCTGACCTTGGACCTGACCTGCGCAACCTCCTGACAGGAAACAGCCTTAGTCACAGAGTCCTTAGTGTCACAGTCCTTAGCTACATCAGCAATAGTGACAACTTCAGAAACTGTCAAACCACTGTCTGTGCTTCGTTTGGTTTGTTTCGTTTGCCACGTTTTTCCTTTAGTGCTTCCAGTGTTTGCAGTGTTCACAGTGCTCAAGTCCATTGGTGCTGGTCCAGAACCCTTGACACCACTCTTGTTCTTCAGCAAGGTGACTTTCAGCCACCAGGCTCTTTCAGAAATCTTCAAAGGTAACTTCAATTTCTTCAAAAACAATCCACTCTCCTCAGCGTTTCCTAGGACGGTCTTCCAACCAGATTCCAAAAGGGCGTAAGTTGAGATCACACTCAAAGGAATTCCTACCACTACGACGCGCTTCATGGTAGTCTTCTGCTTACCTACGCTGAATTCCAGATCTACAACCCCTTTGACAGGAAGCTCATTGTCTCCCGCCCCCTTCAAGCTTGGTGATGGACCAGGATACTGAAAACTCACACGGTAATGCTTGACCCACTTCTCAGAAATGATGTGACAGGTAGCTCCAGAGTCTACCAACCAGCAGGTCTTAGGATCTCCTACCCCTACACTACCGACAAAACCCTCCAGTGTGCTGCTCAGTCATGCCAAGAGTGTCACCCAAGAGTGTCTTCGCAAGAGTGTCTTCCCAAGAGTCTCATGTCAGGAGTGTCTCCTAGGAGTGTCTCCCAGGAGTTTTTTGCCAAGAGTGTCATGCCAAGAGTGTCTCCGAAGAGTGTCTTCTCAAGAGTGTCTTCCCAAGAGTGTCTCCCAAAAGTGTATTCCCAAGAGTGTCTTCCCAAGAGTGTCTCCGAAGAGTGTCTCCCAGGAGTGTCTCCCAGGAGTGTCATCCCAAGAGTGTCATGCCAGGAGTGTCTCCCAAGAATGTCTTCTCAAGAGTGTCTTCTCAAGAGCGTCATGCCAGGAGTGTCTCCCAAGAGTGTCTTCTCAAGAGTGTCTTTACAAGAGTGTCATGCCAAGAGTGTCACTCAAGAGTGTCTTCTCAAAAATGTCTTCTCCAGAGTGTCATGCCAAGAGTGTCTCCGAAGAGTGTCTTCTCAAGCGTGTTTTCCCAAGAGTGTCTCCCAAGAGTGTCTTGCCAAGAGTGTCATGCCAAGAGTGTCATGCCAAGAGTGTCACCCAAGAGTGTCATTGCCAAGAGTGTCTCCCAAAAGTGTATTCCCAAGAGTGTCTCCCTAGAGGGTCTCCCAAGAGTGTCTTCCCAAGAGTGTCTTCCCAAGAGTGTCTCTCAAGAGTGTCATGCCAAGAGTGTCTCCCAAGAGCGTCATGCCAAGAGTGTCTCCCAAGAGTGTCATGCCAAGAGTGTCTCCTAAGAGTGTCATGTCATGTCATGTGGGTTCGTGGGCTGCATCTTGTTTAGCTCTTACGACTAGGTACAGACTCAGGAGTACATCATCAACATCGGCTCAAACTCAGGAGTACATCATCCACATCGGCTCAAGGTTTGGCTTGACATGACAATGAATGCCACCCAAAATCATTTTTGGCTCTGTCTAAAGACTCAGGAGTACATCCCAGCATCGGCTCAAGGTTTGGCTTGACTCTGAGAGGCAATGGGCAGTAGCTCATTATGATACACTGTCCGCAACTGCTGGAGGCCTCGTGCCATCCAGCTTGACATCATGTCATGTCAGTTTCCCCAGCATCGATTTCAAAGTGACATCGCTGTCAAGAGGAGCTGCGGGCTCAGCTGATATGGCGCCGCTGTGACAATGAGCTACCATTGAGAGATGGTAACTTAATAGCAAAAAGGTAAGAAAAAGCACATACCAAAAGCCAACCCCAGATGGGAACCCCAACCCCGATTAGGGAGAACAATATATATAATGAACAGGAAGCCTGGTGCCTTCCGAAGAATCTGGCACCGTGTCCACGGTGCACAGCGATATGTTTTAAAATCCATCTGACAAAAAGAACCCCTGCCAGGAGGTACCCGACACAATCACAATGACACTGACACTCACTTCGTACAATAAACGAGATCCATTCAATCCCTGATGAAGCATCAGGGAAAATTCCGATGTCCTCTTGCTCATGAGTCCTGCCCATCAGGTAAAATACCAAAATTGGAGGAAAACAATGAAAGGCTATGTTTTGAATAATGATTGCATCGCATCCGATCACATCACAGCCGTTTATAATTTAAGAAATTTAACGTTCAAACGATTACCACCAGGATCGGGGTTAGAAGAATTGAAAGCCAATCAAATGACCTCTGTCTGGTTTGGCATGGCCTATTTTACCCTGTACGGAAGCCTCGTCGACAAGTCGCACATTGAGAAGCATCTTAAAAATGCAGATGTTCAGGATGAACTTACATCTAACCTGATCCGCGCACGGACTCAACAAAGTGCGCCAATTCCTGAACCAGCGCAACCAGCTCAGAATGATCGACCACTGGGACCGCCCACGGACCCAGAAACTGCACGCAGTAATGAATGGAAGAAACTGCTCATTCAAAACACGCCATCTCAATTAATCCCGACCAAAACGCCGCTTATATGGCCAATGAACCAAGTAATTCAGGAAGGAGCAGAAGAAGTTGACGTCTTGAGTGATGATGATGAAGACGTCAAGGAAGAAGAAGATGACGAAGTTGAAGCTGCTGGTGCAAATTACACTTCAAGCTATTTTGACGATGCTGATGCCGAAAGAGCCGATACTGACGAAGTTGTCGACCTGGAGCCTGACGTCACCGGCACCAAGGCAAAACCGAAGATAAGGCCGCAGCAAAGGATAATCCAAGCAAAGACAGGAGCAAAGACGTCCGATGCATCCGCATCCAGTACTGCCCCGCAAGCAGCGCCCAACATTCGACTTGTTCCTTTGTTCCTAAGAAAGGCGAACCACGCCAAGAGGTTAATCTCCGAACCAAAGAAGATACCAGCGAGGCACGAATGGCCGGTAAACAACAAAAACACATCGATGACTTTCATCCTACTCCTGGCAACTTTAACATCTCGAATGTGCCAAGTTTCCTGAACGCAATGCTGATGCAATTTTCTGTTGCCCAAAGTGGGGGCAACGCAGTTGTTTTGATTGCCGCAAGGAGAACAAGTACAAATTTTGTAAAAGCAATTCGACATTTTTATGCTCTGTCCTACCTCATACACGCAATCCCGACCCATTTTCTACTTTTCGAGGTATGAGTAGAGACCAAGTGATACAAGAGGTAACTAATGAGGTCCGCTTCGTCGGACCGAAACCAGCAGCAAGAATACCGTGACGATCTCTTGCAACAATGCAAAGATGTAATTGCCCAGAGCCTCAGCACATGTAACCGGTTTCTTGATGATGTTACCGTTCGCGGCCTTGAAGACGTGGAAAATGTATCAAGCACATATCTGTGCGACAAAATGGCGCCGACACCGGCCCCGGCAGCCACAGTCAACTTCCAATTTACAGACCTGAATGTCTCTCGAAATGCCCAGGCAAGGTCAAAAGATACCACTGCCGACGTTTCCAAGAATTGTACCGTACCGTGGTTGCCTCGCGCAGCTCGGTACTAAATCCAAAACTTGCTTGGGATGCGGGTCTCGGCGACATGTTCAATCTTGACACTTTGGCGCTGAACATTTCCACGTTGAATGATGGACACATAAATCGCCAACCTTTTATCGCCGGGGAATGGAAATTCCGGAAGGACATGCCCACACCAAAAGAAAGCAATCTTGCTCATCTTGTGTTCTGTAATCCCGGACATAGAGTTGTGCTCTTTGCGACGCACAGGATCACCATGGCGGGATCGGAACTCATCAAGACTTAGCAGAGAAACACGGATGCATGGGCATCATCGTGGATTCCGAAAACGGAGCACGGTCTTTAGCATGTTTTCTGAAAGGCAAATCCATGATCATTCTTACATCGAAGTATTGTCGCACTACGACATGCCAAAGAAGCCAAAAACCTGCGGTGGCTTATCCACGGTGCAGAATTGCGTTGCTATTTTGGTCATAATGATTCAGGATTCATGGTTAATCCCGCTACCGGGGAACGTGTGCCAGCACTAGGGCAACCTGTTCATGAAGACATTGATAATGTTTGCCGCCATCACAAGCCACTTTTCGATAATTACCTCCAAAATGGGATTATGAAAGATTTGAATTTTTCATAGGCTGATGCATTCCGACACGGATATCAAGCATCACATATGCCTGGACTGACATTGTTTCCAAGCGTCTTGAGAATCAAGTAGATTTCCTTACAGGCGATGCCAACCTCATGGGACAGAGACACTTTTGATTCTGGCGACTCCCATTCCCATTTCCAGACACCCATTCCTGTTGATGTGCTTGCACGAATGTGCTCACATATCATTGTAAATGTCTCTCCTGTAAACCATGTGACTTTCAGCATTGCGCCATCTACTCAGATGGAAAGAGTACCTCAAGGCACTTCAGGGAGACATCAACACACCTTACGATTCCATGATTCTTATATCTCACTCTGCTATGGAAAGCAGCCTACTATCCAGATGGAACGTACCAAGAACCAAGGCAACTTTGAAGAAGCACCTATGCAAGAAGAAACTCAACTCCGTGAAACAGGAAAAAACCGAAATATCAAATGAACACAGACTTAAGACTACTTAAGACTTGCTGATTCCGACTTGCGGATGGCATTCACCACTTCACACGGTTTGCAAAGTCAAGGTACAGAAAAATCACCGATTCAGAAGCGCAAAAGCTCAAGCTAAACGCGAAGAAGGACAGGCCGCTTACAAGCATCATCGATCACAGAGCCGTGGATGGTATCCACACTATGGAGACCGAAATACAATATCAAGGAGATCAGAGGTACCGGGATCAGTTACGATCAGCATCTGCGCAACAACACCGAGGAAGAGAACGCAGCCGGGCGCCTTCCACTTTTTACCGGCCACAGAGACGATGGGCTTCAAATACTGCACCAGGCAGCAACAAAGCCAAACTACAGCCGCGACTGGCGCATTTGTTCCTGAGCCACCGGCTCCATCAGCCTCATCAGCTGGACCTTGTGAACACCCAAGACCGCCAGTAAAAGCACCGCCATTTGCGGATGCCAAGTAAACCACGTTTGACACCTCGTGAACCTGATCCTCCGCCTCCGGAAGAACGAAAGCATCCGGACGAGACAAAGGAAATTCCTAAGGAAAAGGGAAGGATAAAGGAAAAGGAAAAGCAAAACCAAAAGGACAAGACCAGAACGCCGGTAAAGGTAAATTTCAAGGAAAAGTTATCTTCGTTGGCAGAACGTGTACCATGATGAAGACGGGGAACCCGTGTTCCCAAGATGGAGCATTAAACATCAAAAATGCGTGGGACCCAGGCGGGGCACTTACCCAGAGCACCCACAAGATGAGTGGGAATGTGTGTTTTTTGGAATTTATCCGACGCCTACCCATGAATGGTTTGAAGAAAAGTTGTACGGGTATTCACTGCCAATTTTTGTCTAAGTGCCGACATCGGTCAATGCATTCGCCGTGGATGGATTTGGTGTAGATTGACTTTGCAAGCCAATGTCTCACAATGCGATGCACGTCTCACATGATGTTTCACACTCCGTAGTTTGATCCATAGTCAGTGCCGAGAACGGTCAATGACAACTTTGACCAAGGGACAAATATTCAGACAAGAATTGAAACTCGAAGACAATTTGTCTGTTTTGAATTCCTTGTTGGGGATACACAAGTTTCAACTACATGTCATGTCCTATTTTCACACATCCATGTCACCAGCAACAATAGCATGTTTGGACCATGGCTCAAGACTGAAAGCGTAGCTGCAGCGTCAAGAGGAGAGTTGCTGACCGGCAGGTTTGTGCGGACCTGGTGAACTCCCCCCCTTGATTGTAATGTCAAGTTAGGATTAATAATCCCCGCGGTATTAATCAACCCCCTCTGCCCAATTTTTTTTTTGTAATTTAAAAACAGGTGGGCCTACCCCCGATTAATCAACCACGACTTCGAAACCATTTCATTTCTCTCAAAAAAATCTTTTCTCATAGGAATCTGTTGGTTTACCCAACCAGGGGAGCAGGGAAAAAAAAATGTTTAAAAAGAGCCAAAATGGTTGCGGTTTCGGAAATCAATCTATTTATCCATCTAAAATCTTTTCCCATAGGAATCTGTTGGTTTACCCATAGGAATCTGTTGGTTTACCCAACAAGGGGAGCAGGAAAAAAAAATGTTGAAAAAGAGCCAAAATGGCTGCGGATTCGGAAATCTATCTATCCATCTAAAAATCTTTTCCCATAGGAATCTGTTGGTTTACCCAACAAGGGGAGCAGGGGAAAAAAATATGTTGAAAAAGAGCCAAAATGGCTGCGGATTCGGAAATCTATCTATCCATCTAAAAATCTTTTCCCATAGGAATCTGTTGGTTTACAGAACCAGGGGTGCTGCTTGGTGGGGGTTATTAATCCATAGGTATTAATTAATTAATTAATCTATTATCTCAGGGGGTTGATTAATACCGCGGGGATTATTAATCCTAACTTAATTAGTTGTTAATTTTAAGACCAAAAACCCATCACTGTCCCCATGCTGCCAAAAACCCATCAATGTTCCCATGCTGCCAAAAACCCATCACTGCTCCCATACTGCCAAAAACCAATAAATGCCCATGCTTCCAAAAACCAATCACTGCTCCCATGCTGCCAAAAACCCATCACTGTTCCCATGCTGCCAAAAACCCATGACTGTTCCCATGCTTCCAAAAACCCATCACTGCTCCCATACTGCCAAAAACCAATAAATGCCCATGCTTCCAAAAACCAATCACTGCTCCCATGCTGCCAAAAAGTAAAATCACTGCTCCCATGCTGCTCATTGCTTCTTTTTTCTGCTGATGGCCTGCCTCATTGAAATTGTTTTTCAATGGGCTTGCCTGTTCGCTTAAGTGCCTGTCTCATGAAATACCTTAGGCATTTCCATTTGTCGCACTTATAGCATCCACTCTGATGCCTGCATTTGGGACACACCCCGACCTCATTCAAGCTGATCCTCATGATCTCTGACTGGTACTCATCCCCCAGCTCATCCTCCTGGATGGTGCCACCCTCCTTGAGGAATCTGATGGCTTCCTTCTGCATGTCATTCAGGATCTGGTCCTTCTTTACCTTCATCTCAGCCACTTTCAATGTTTTCTGCAAGGCTTCGAATGCTTTAGCACCATTGCCCTTGATCTTCTCATCCTGCTGCTGGAGATCCTTGTAGTACTTCTCCTTCTCATCAGCCAATGCCAGTGTGAGCTTCTGCAATCGCTGATGCCACCCATGGGCTGCATGTTCAGCCCATCCAGTAGCTGCAGGGCCATGGCCCAGATGTCTCATCACCTTGGACAGGGTGGTAAAAAATGTGTTACCCATGGTCAAGTGCATGCTTTGGGGGTCAGTTTGCTTAATTAAAACAGATGATGCTTGTGGTGCCCATGGGATTCCCTACCCTACCTCCTGTTCAGCATATGCCAAAAGATATTGGCCACATAGGTTGCTACCATATGGCTGTCTTGATTTCTGATTCTGCCTATGCAAAGCTGGGCAGTGAAGCATGCCTTCACTGATGCAGCCCAATGATTGCATGATGCCCAGCAATCTTTCTGCCATTGCCACAGTTTTCTCTGGAAGGTTGCTGATTTCCTCCTCAGTGCCAATCTTTTTGCGATCATCTGAGCCACACAAGGAATCATAGTACCTGATCTCACCCGCATGCTTATCCACCACCAGCAATGACCAATGGCCACCAGATGCCAATGGGCAGAGAAATGTATCATCTTTGCCAGCCATCTTCTTCTTGAGACATTTGCATAGGAGCTCATGGCTGACAAACTCATTGTCAGCAGGGTTGTCTGCAGCCAATGAGCACACCAATGCTGGGCTGAGCATGCTGATGCCCTGTATCTCATCCAGCTTCTTGCCTGATGCCATGTAGCATAGCACCAACCACCCATAGATGATGTGTTGGCCATCCAAACCATCTGCACCCATATCTTTGGGAACCAATTCCACCTCATCCCAAGGGAGATCCATCTCATCAACATCCACATGGCAAGTGCCTGATTGCAGCAAAATGTGCTGCTTGGCTTGCCTGCCTAGGGATAGCTGAGGAAATACCCAGGAAGGCTTGATGCTCTCATCGATGCTCATGACCCATGCTCTGTCTACCCATGCCACCCTCTCAAAGGAATTCCTCGGATCACTTTCCAAATGCAACTGTATCTGAGTTTCCCCTGCTCCCATTGCAGATCCTTGCCTTCCAAACAGCATGGGACCAGCAAATTCACTGATGATCCTCAACTTGCCTGATGGCACCTCATAGGCTGCTGCTGGCTCATCCGCTGGAGGTGGCAATGCAGGAGGTGGCAATGGAGGAGCTCCTGCTGGTGGCTCATCAACTTTCTGTGCTGATTTGCCTTTCTTTAGAAGCTTCACTGCCACATTCTTGATGGCATTCTTCTTGTCTTTCTTCTTGGTTGCCTTCTCATGCTTCGCAGCCAAGCTCATGCTCTCCTGCTTCTTCTGATTTTTCTTTTTTTTTTGCTATCAGCTTCGCTGTTGGTTTCTTTGCTGATGGTTTTATGTCCATCATGGCTTCCAATCTGCTCTTAGACTGAAGGTTGCTCAGAATCTCCTCCCTCTGCTGCTGTGATAGTGCTTTTTTGGCTTCTGTTCTCATCTTTTTCTCATTTCTCTTGCTCCTGATCTTCTCCCTCTTCTTCCTGGCCTCCTCAGGCAAGGTCTTCTTTCTCCCTGATGCTGAGATCTCTTCTCAGATCCAAAGGCAACTGAAACTGTCCACATGTTACCCAATCAGGCTCATCAGCGCCTTCTAGATCCAGTACTGCCTCATTCTTCTCCAATCCTTGCTGCTGATAGCTCCACTCCAAGAGATCTGCTAATTCCTTTGCTCCCTCAATCCTTTCCCATATTGGTGGATCCACTGATCTTCCTGCTTCTTTGATCCAGCTCATACGATTCTTCAGCCAATGGCTGCTGATTCTGGTGCTGCCTATTGGCTTATCCTTGCACCAGCTTTGATCCTGCTGGTACACCATGTGGCCTGATCTGTCTGGCCTGAATGCTAAAAACCCATTTCTCCTCAATCCTGCCAGCACCCACTGATCTTCATCATTTCTATCAATCATCCTCTGCATGCTGCTGTCCAATGCAACAGCTACATCCCTCAAGCTCATCTTGTACTGCTCACTTGGAGTTGCCTCATCCCTTCTCTGCTTCTGCATTCCCGTTCTCATGGTCTCATCAACTGACTGCCTCACACAAGCTTTAAACTGACGACTAAAGTCAGTATCTGTGAGTTGGAGAGCTGATGTCATCTTTGCAACAATGGAAGATGGCACCTCATGTGCCAAAAACTGCATCTGCCTCACCTGATCCACAAATGCTGCTCCAAAGCAATCTCTTTGGTGCAGTCTCATGCCTGCCTTGTGGCTCATGTCTCTGATGACCCAGGACATGATGATCCCATCAGTGTTCGATGATGGCTGAGAATAGACATGGAAATGCCTCAGCAGCTGTGGCTCATCCTTTCTCAGCTTCCTCCAAGGTTCTAATGTCCTGCCCACATTGTTGCCTTTCTTATGAGTTCTCTTCTGTCCCATGTAGGTGTAGGTCTCATCCTGCAGCCACTCTCCTGTTTCACTGATGTTTGCCAGAGAGGCATGTGGCCCTGGCACAATCAGGATGCCAGGGCTAACCACACCTAATGGGTTCTCATCAGGGTCAAAGAAGTTGAGGACACTCTGATGGGCTTCGAATGTAATGCGATACTTGTCAACATTTTGTTCTCTCATTGTAGTCAAATGTTTCTTGCCTGATGATTTGCGATCTGCTGCTTCAGGAATGTGCCATTCCTCACCTTCATCATGAGGAACAATCTGCTGATCCTTTTCCTCATCTCCCTTCTGCTGATTTTCTGTTTCTACAATGCCCTTCTCATGCGCTTTCTTATCCAGTTCCTCCCTGATCTTCTCTCTATGGCTTGTAACATCCTTTGCAGATTTCTTGGCCTCATGTGCTGCAAAAACTTCTTTGTTGCTAGGCTTCTTGACCCACAATGGGATCTGATCAGAGAAATGCAACACACACTTCCTCATCTGCTGTTTTGCCTGATCTGGCCTGCTGAAGAGCTCCTTATAGTCCTCATCCTTTGCTTGTGCAATCCTCCAGATCTGGTAATCATGCTGATTCCAACTCAGCTCTGCTCTGATCTGCTGCTCCACATCTGATAGCTGAGTTGTGAGATTGGGGCTCCTGACCTTTGCTCCAATGCTCTCAATGACATGCCTTGCTCTTCTATCAAGATTCTTTGGCTCTTCCAGTCCTTTCAACATTTTGGTGCTGCTCCCCAGATCTTTCTTCTCCTTATTGCTGATGCTTCCCTGCTCATTCTTGGCCTGGAGCTCCTGATGATATTGTAAAAGCAGCTCATGAAATTTCCATCCAACATGTCTTGGCAATACTGTATGGCAGTGGGATCTCTCGAGCTCCACCCATGTCCTGATCTGCTCATAGATGCTGGGGAATTGTAGCTTTCTGCCCCCACCCTTGGCTCTCATTCTCACCACCTTGGTAGCACCAGGCCCATGGCTCCCTCTTCTTGCTGATCTTCCTTCCACATGCTGCTCTGATGTGCTGAGGCCATGCTGCTCCATCTGCTTCTTCCACTCTGATCTCCTGTTCCAGATGTATCTCAGCTTCACCCTCTTCATCTTAAACTTCTTCGCTGCATGCATCAAAAGCTCCTCCTCATTTTTGTGTTCTTCTCTCATGCCAAAAATCTCTTGGCATAATGCATGCTTATGGCTGACTGGCAAATCATGTCTTTTCTTCTTCTGATGTTTTAGCCTTCTGTTGCTCTTCAAACCTCCACCCACTCCTCTCTTCAATTCCTGCATTACTTCTGGCCTCCCTCCCCTGTTCCTCATGCTGGGCACCATCTGATCTGTCAACTTCTTTTCTGTTGCTTCCTTGATGGCAGCCATATCAGCTTCAGTCCACTTAACCACTTGCCCATCCTTGTTGACTATGCCCTGATGCAGCAATGATCTGATCACATCCTCAATCTTCTTCTCTCTTTTCTTGGGAGGCAGCTGTGGTTCCTCTTCCAACTCCAATTCCTCTGTCCCAACTGATTCAGGGCTGAAAAACCTTTTCAGAGTTGATTGCTTCTGCTTGCTTCCCCCTGAGGCTGATGTAGCTGATGTAGGTGATGCTTTCATTGCTGGTGCTGATTCTGCTGATGTAGGGCTGAACTCAAGCTTTCTTCTGACAGATTGTGATGTAGGGGTCTCATATACTGTTCTCTTTCCTCTAATTCTCCTCAAAACCATTTGCGCATCAAATGAGTCAGTGCTGTTTGCCTTGTTCAAGCTGCTGGATTCATTCTTCTTATCTTCTTTTTCTTCTTGTTTTGCTTTATTCTGATTCTTCTCATCATCTCCTCCTGCTGCCTCTGTCTTAACCTCATTGCTTCCCTCATCAGCCTTTGTCTCTGCTACTGCTTCAGCCTCACTTTCTATCACCTCATCTTCCTCAAAGTCTTTCTCTTCTTCACCTCCCTCTTCTACATGCTGTTCTCCTGCTCCTCTGATTTCTCTCATTCTTCTTTTTCTTGCTCTTTGCTGCGCCTACCACATAATTTTTACATTAAGGAGGAAGAAGATCAGGAGAGTACACCAGGATAGAGAAATACAGATGCTATATGAATATGATATCAAGTAATTATTCTATATTGATACCAAAAATATGCTTTATTATTGATGTAAGCATATATATATATACACACAATGCCCAAATGCAAACTGCTGATGGAAACTGAAAGCTGCAACACTGCTCATTGCAAATCACTGCTGATCAAAGTTGACAACTGCAAATGCACACCACTGCTGAAAGCACCACTGCTGATCATTGAAAAATTGAAAAAAAACTATTCCCCAAATGATCGATTTCTAATTAAAATCTTTATAAAAATCATCAGTTTGGATAGCTCCCAAAGGGTACCCCCCATGAGCCCATGTCCCCCCCTAATAATAAACCAGGGCACCCTTGATTAATCAACCACCCCTGGCCTCATAGTGCTGCTTTTGCTTGCTTTCCTTCATTTTGCTCATTGCCTCTATGCTTTGCATCCTTTTGTTTTTCCTGTTTTCTTTGAGCTCATCTTGCTGCCTCATCGTTTTTAGATCAATGTTGCTTGTTGATCTTGCCAATTTGCTCCTCATTGCTTTGATCTCATCCTCCTTCCTCTTATCTAGCTCTTTTTGTTCCTCATCCTCTGCTATTTCCAGCTCTTGCCAATCAAAGTAGCTGCTCATGGGGGTGCATGTTTCCTTCATCTGGGCCACAGGAAAATGCAAAGTTTGCATTTTCCTGTGGCCCATCTCCATTTCCTCCTCTACTTTATCCAGCTCCTCCCAGTTGAAGTAGGTGCTCATGGTGTTGCCTGATTTCCTCATCCTTTGCATCTGCCTCATGTTCATCCTTTGCTCCTTCTCATCCTTCTTTTTTCTACTCCAAAATGCCTTTGACCTCCTCCACCTCATCTTTGCTACTAACTCCTTCACTTTCTGTGCTAATGCCTCATGCCTTTGCTTCTTAAATGCCTCATCTAACTCACACCAATCAAAAAAAGGATCACCAGTGCACTGCTGATCATTCCCATGCTGCCCAGAGAAGCCATTGCTGGTAGGCCCATAGTGCTCATGATGCCCATCTTCAAAGGGAGCACCACCACCATTCTCATCAGTGCCACCATCATCCAGCACCATGCTCATGCTGCCATAGGCCTGATCCAGGAGAATAAAAATTGGGCCATCACTATCCAATGGGAAGAAGCATCATAAAGACATAGTTTTTTTTGATATCCTGGATCAGGCTTATGGCAGCATGAGCATGGTCTTTGGTGATGATGGATGAGCCTATCTCCACTGGAATCTTTGGCTGGGATGAGCTGGACCTGATCCAGTCTGGAACTGATCCAGTTTTGTTGTCCATGGAATGATTCTTTTCATTGGATGGTGGTGGCTCATGATGAAAAAATCTCATAATCTCTATTATGTTTTGAAGTTTTCCAATCAGATTGTGATAGCTCATGCCTAGCGATGGGTTAATTAATTTGTTAATATCTCATGGGGCCCATGATGTTTTAACCATCAAACCTTTTCAAATCCAATGGAATCTGATGTGGCCCAAAAGCATTTAAGAATCAAATCTTATCAAACCCAATGGAAGGTTTCCATGAGATTATGTCGATCAAATCTCATCAAACCTCATCATACCCAAAATCCATGCACCCATAGGCCTCCAGAGCATCCCAGCCACAGATTCCAATGGAGATAGGCCCATCACCATCATCTCCAAGGCCCATGCTCATGCTGCCATAAGCCTGATCCAGGATATCAAAAAAAAACTATGTCTTTATGATGCTTCTTCCCATTGGATAGAGATGGCTCATGATGAAGAATCTAATCATCCCCTTTCTGTTTTGGCATATTCCCATAAGATTGTGATAGCTCATTAAACCCCATGAACCCATATGCATATGCCTCATCCTCATCAAATCTTATGAAATCCATTAGAATCTGATGGGATTCATGAGGTTTTAGGACTTAAACCTTATGAAATCCAATGGGCTTTGATGAGTTTCATGAGATTTTAAGCATCGAATCTTATGAAATCCATTGGAATCTGATGGGATTCATTAGGTTTTAGGACTTAAATCTAATGAAATCAAATGGAATCTTATGGGTTCCATGAGATTATGACATTAAAATCTTATCAAATCTCATCATCCCCAAAATCCATAAACCCATAAGCCTCATCCAGGGAATCCCAGCCAAAGATGCCAGTGCACTCATCTCCAAGCACCATGCTGATGCCATAGGCCTCATCCAGGAGATGGAAAAACTATGTTTTTATGATGCTTCTTCCCATTGGATGGTGATGGCTCATGATGTAAAAGTATCATCATCTCCTTTCTGATTTGTTTTTCCTATAAGATTGTGATACCTCATGCATGGTAATTATCTCAACACCACTGTTTAACAATGAAATCTTATCAAATCCAATGGAATCTTATGGGATCCATGGGATTTTAACAATGAATTCCTATCAAATCCAGTGGAATCTGATGGGATTCATGAGGTTTTAAGTATGAAACCTTATGAAATCCAATGAAAATTGATGAGATTCATGAGGTTTTAAGTAACTATCAAATCTTATGAAATCCATTAGAATCTGATGGGATTCGTGAGGTTTTAGGACTTAAATCTAATGAAATCCAATGGGACCTGATGAAATTCATGAGATTTTAAGTATAAAATCTCATGAAATCCAATGGGGCCTGATGAAATTCATCAGATTTTAAGTATGAAATCTCATGAAATCCAATGGGACCTGATGAAGTTCATGAGATTTTAAGTATAAAATCTCATGAAATCCAATGGGGCCCTGATGAAATTCATGATATTTTAAGTATAAAATCTCATGAAATCCAATGGGGTCCTGATGAAATTCATGAGATTTTAAGTATACAATCTCATGAAATCCAATGGGATCTGATGAAATTCATGAGATTTTAAGTATAAAATCCGATGAAATCCAATGGGATCTGATGAAATTCATGAGAGTTTAAGTATAAAATCTCATGAAATCCAATGGGGTCTGATGAAATTCATGAGATTTTAAGTACAAAATCTCATGAAATCCAATGGGATCTGATGAAATTCATGAGATTTTGAGTATACAATCTCATGAAATCCAATGGGGTCTGATGAAATTCATGAGAGTTTAAGTATAAAATCTCATGAAATCCAATGGGGTCTGATGAAATTCATCAGATTTTAAGTATAAAATCTCATGAAATCCAGTGGGGTCTGATGAAATTCATGATATTTTAAGTATAAAATCTCATGTCCAATGGGATCTGATGAAATTCATGAGATTTTAAGTATAAAATCTCATGAAATCCAATGGGGTCTGATGAAATTCATGAGATTTTAAGTATAAAATCTCATGAAATCCAATGGGATCTGATGAAATTCATGAGATTTTAAGTATAAAATCTCATGAAATCCAATGGGGTCTGATGAAATTCATGAGATTTTAAGTATGAAATTCATGATATTTTAAGTATAAAATCTCATGAAATCCAATGGGGTCTTATGAAATTCATGAGATTTTAAGTATCAAATCTTATGAAATCCATTAGAATCTGATGGGATTCATGGGGTTTTAGGACTTAAATCTTATGAAATCCAATGGAATCTTATGGGACCCATGGGATTTTAACAATGAATTCTTATCAAACCCATCATGCCCAAAATCCTGAACCCCTAACACAAGCCTCATCCAAATCCTCCCTGTCAAGATGCCTTGGGGATGCTTCTAGTGCTCATGAATGCCATCTTCAAAGACATCAAACCAAACCATTCTCACTCGATGCCATACATCCCCAGCACCATGCTGATGCCATAGGCCTGGTCCAGGAAATTAAAAAACTATGTCTTGATGATGCTTCTTCCCATTGGACCTGGAATAGGAGCTCATATGAAAAAATATCATCTTCTAACATTTCTGCTATTGACTTTTCCCAAGTTTTGTGATAGCTCATGATGGGAATTAGCTAGCCCACACTGAACCCAATAAGCCTCTTTCCAACGCATCCGTCCCAAGAGATGCCCAGTGCACATCATCTGCATCACCATGCTGATGCCATAGGCCTGATCCAGGAGATTAAAAAACTATGTCTTTATGATGCTTCTTCCCATTGGATGGTGATGGCTCATGATGAAAAAGTATCATCTTCATCATTTCTGCTTTGATTTTTCCCATAAGTTTGTGATAGCTCATGCATGGGAATTAGCTAAGCCCCATGAACCCATAAGCCTCTTCCAACGCATCCCAGTCAAAGATGCCAGTGCACTCATCTGCAAGCACCATGCTGATGCCATAGGCCTGGTCCAGGAAATTAAAAAACTATGTCTTGATGATGCTTCTTCCCATTGGATGGTGATAGCTAATGATGAAAAATCTAATCATTCCCTTTCTGTTTTGGTATATTCCCATAAGATTGTGATAGCTCATTAAACCCCATGAACCCATATGCATATGCCTCATCCTCATCACAGCCAAAGATCTCACCCTTCTCATCTTCAAAGGGGTCATTGCCATCATCCTCATCAGTGCTCTCATCCCCATGCCCAAGGTCAGCCAATGCCCAAAACCGATTGTGCAGGCTCATGGCTTTCCTCATCTCCTAATAGCCTATGAACTAGATCACCAGCTAAAAGGGTGGGTTGCTGATTGCTGCTGATGCCAAAAGCTGCATGGTTTCTCATAAATCTCATGCTGATTCTCATGTTTCAATCATGGGATTTCCTCACTGTTTCATTCTTGATTGTTTCATTCTCATCACTTTTTGAAGCATGCCTCATGCAAAATCTCATGTCTCCCCATCTTGCACTGGTTTTCTCATGGTTAAATCCCATGCCAGTTCTCATGTTTCACTCATTTGAATTCCTGATTTTCATGTTTCCCATGCAATAAATACATTAGGTTTTGATGCTTCCCATGATGAGTCTTGTGAAAAATTAGATTAGAAAACCCCATTACACCACAATGCTTCCCACCCCATGCTCACTGCTGTTTTTTTCAGGCAAAATATGTCTGATGGTTTGCTCATGGCTCACATTGGCTGATGCCACCCCACCTTTATAATCCCATATCTATGTATATATATATATATCTAATGGTTAAATCATCTCATCAACCTATATAATTATTTAGTTAGTTATGATATCTAATCAACCTATATAGGTGGCCTATGGCCTGTTCCAGCAGCATGGGTGTGCATTTATGGTTCATTGGTTAGCTAGATGACTAATGTTTAATTAATGAATGACTAATGTTTAATTAATGATTGCTAATTAATTATAAACTGATTTAAATGCACATCCATGCATGTGAGCTCATGGCATTCATGCTGATGATCTCATCTCATCAGCTCACCAAGCTCTGATCTGTTGGATCAAAGCTAAAATCTCTTGCCCATGTGGCCACCTCATGGTCAGCTGGCCCATTTGGCCCTCATTCCACTGACTCAACCCATCATGCTCCACCATGAGCCAATGCCTCATGCCTTAGGTTTTGCTGTTTTCCCCATTGGGTGTTGAGAAAAAACACATGCAATCTTATATAATTAAAACCCAATGGTGCCTATGAGGATTTAAGTATTAAACCTGATGAAATCCAATGGGGTCTGATGGGATTCATGGTTTTTTTTTTATATTAAACCTGATGAAATCCAATGGAATCTGATGAGATTCATGGGGTTTTAGGACTTATATCTTATGAAATCCAATGGGATCTGAAGCCATTCCTCATGAATTAATTATAAACTCTTATGAACCCCATTAAAAACCATGGGGTTCCAGTCCTTTCTCATAGACACTCATATTCTTAGTTCAGCCAAGACACTCAATGGGTGATCAGGCCTGATCAAGTTCTCATAGTGCTCTGATGTCACCCTGATGGGGGAGAATGCACCAGTCCTCAGAATCAGTGATGAACATGTATGCCAAGTGTATATTAACTAATTAGCTAATTATATATGTAATTAATTACATCTAAAAAAAGTATTTTAAAAGTGCTCTAAATATTTAATTATACAACTATATAGTTAACTATATATGATTATACAATTTATAATCAAAAATCAAAAGCTTAATTAATAACACCAATTAGGACCCAGTGGCTGATAGGCTGCATTGATGTTGGCAATGAGCTCATCCAGCAGCTGATGGTTCGTCTTGCCCCTATCGTTCCTCTCATTGTAGATGGTACCTAGCAATGGAATCACACCCAATGGTATCTTATGAAAAAAAAACACAAAAAAAACCAACCAAATCCAATGAAATCTTATGAAAATCCAATGGAACCCATGGGGTTTACTAACCAGGTCCCATCAAACCCAATGAAAAACCTAGTAATTAAGGCCCATAGGATTCACCCAATCTAACCTAATGCAATCTTACATAAAAACCCAATGGGGCCCCAAGCAACCTAAAACAGAAACCAAGCAACTCTCATGGGGCTCATCCATCCCCATCATGAGCTTCATGCCCACCTGGAACATGTGGAGCAAGCTGATGGTGCAGATGCTCACCCATGCCATCCTTGGTTGATGAGGATTGGGGGTTGGCTTATGTACACAAATATATATACATATTTATATGCATATAATTATAATATATATAATTAATTATATATATATAACCTATATAATTATATATACACATATAATTAGCATATATATATATATGGCATGACTTATGAGTCCTATGGGCTACCAAGTAACTCATGGCTGCTGATCTTCAATGAGGCATCTCGCTCATAGGTGAGCCACCTCCTCATCATCGGGATCCTCCTTTCCAATGGGCACACATCAGTCTCCCAGCCTGAGATGAGGGCTGATAAATTAATCAAATGGAATCTAAATGGAGTCATGATGTTTTTAAGACTCAAACCCTATGAATTCCAATGGAAACTGATGGGATTCATGAGGATTTAGGACTTAATTATATCTTATGAAATCCAATGGGATTTGATGGGATTCATGAGGGATTATGACACTAAAATCTTATCAAATATCATCATCCCTAAAATCCATAAACCCATAAGCCTCATCCAGGGTATCCCAGTCTTAGAATGAATCCAAGCAGCTCATGATCACCCATCCCCTGATGTCTCCCAATCTTTGGCAGAGATGTCTGATGCGATCTCTCATCAGCCCACCAGTCTGACAGGTTTTTTTTGGTTGAAAATGGGATGTCATGTGAAGCAACTATTAATCAATCTATCTATCTACCTATCTATCTATCTAATCTAATCCAATCTAATCCAATCTAATCTAATCCAATCTAATCCAATCAATCTAATCTAATCTAATCTATCTAATCTATCCAATCTATCCAATCTATCAATCTATCAATCTATCAATCTAATCTAATCTGATCTAATCTAATCTAATCTAACCTAATCTATCTATCTAATTAACAATCCTTGCCCCACCTCATCCATCCTCAGCTCCATGGTGCTGATGAGATCAATGACAGCCTTCATGCTCTTGTCTGATGCTGATGTCCCACTGGATGCCATGTACTTGCCCATGGCATATCCACCTGATGGAGCTGGATGTTGATGGACATCATTGCTGAATCCCAAAAATAGATTGTAATTATCCTAATTAATTAATTGATTACTTATTATGTTTCATAGTTTCCTCATTGGATTCCACTGAATTGGTGCCCCATGCATCCCCATGCATCCCCCCACCTGATGCAGCCACCAATGCAGAGAGAATGACAGCTGTCAACATGGCGATGCTGATGATGCCCTGATGGTCGATGCCCTGATGGCGAGATGAGCTAATGCTGATCCAAAATGCTTCAAATATATGCACATGATCATCACATGCACTCATGCACTCATGCTCTCCTGCACTCATGCTCTCATGCACTCATGCTCTCATGTACTCATGCACTCATGCTCACATGCACTCATACTCACATGCACTCAGGATTCAAATGACCACCCCATGAGTTTCAGCTCATGACCATATGGCCTTCCCATGGCACCCCCAATATTTCATATGCTATATGAATATGATACCAATATGATATCAAATTGCTCCTCATGGACCCTGAAACCTCATGAACACCAGAACCAACCCATCACTTCTGATTTGAAATTTTGGAAAAAAAAACTATCCCCCAAATGATCGATTTCTAATTAAAATCTTTATAAAAATCAATAATTTCGATAGCTCACAAAGGGTACCCCCCATGAGCCCATGTCCCCCCTTAATAATAAACCAGGGCACCCCTGATTAATCAACCGCCCCTGGCCCCACTGTTTTTTTTCTGGATTGCATCAGTCATTGCTGATATTCATCTCATTACCTTCTAATCTGGAGTCTAATCTAGAAGCTCTATTGTTTCTGTACATGCTTCTTCTCTCCAGCTGATCATTATCCAGATCAGGTGTATGCTGATCCTCTAGAAATTCCTCATCTTCTGATGTGCTCAAGAACATGTCTCCAAGACGCCTTGCTGATGCCTCATGATCCTCATCACCCTCATCACCAGCATCACCATCATCACCCCCATCTTCTCCACATGACCCCATTTGCTGCTCAGTGATGAGGATGGCCAGCTCATTCATGTAGATCATGAGCTTCATGTTCATCTTCCTCATCTCCACATACATGATCACCAATGCCAGCATCATGCCCAGAAGCAAGCAGCACTCAATGATGGCCATGGCTGATGAGTCAACTGATGTTGAACTGATGTTGAACTATTAGGCTGCAGTGGTATGACATCTGATGCATGAGTTCCCATGCAATTCTCATGGAAACCCAAGGCAAACCCCATGGTTAGTGCTATGAATACCTCATAGATTTTGGTGGTGTCCCCATTAGATTGTGATAGCTCATGCCTGGCAATGAAATTTCATGGATGTCATTGCATTCTGATGGCCCATGACTTGTAATTAAATCCCATCGCATTTTCATGGTAAATTACCATTGGACCTGAATGGATCTTATGGATGAATCCCACTAGACTTTCATGGTTCTCCCATTGGACCTGAATGGATCTTATGGATGAATCCCACTAGACTTTCGTGGTTCTCCATCATAAGATTCCCATGCAATCCCCATGTCACTCATTGGATTCTCATTTCCCAATTCACTTCCTTCCCCCCCAATCCCTCACTCTGCAGCTTCCTTCATTTTCCATTCAAAAGCTATTATGGATCTGTGTAATCTCATCTCTATATGGAAATGCATGAATCCAATCTACATAGAGGTCCAAACCTTGTTGGGAACCTTTAATGATTGAGGCTAATGTCTTCTGCTCATGCACCAATTCTTGGAGCTG